ACAAATGAGCTAAAAAACAAATATAAAAACTTACTGATGGAAACTAAGAGCTACAGAAATTCAGCTTCGGACCAAAAGAGAATAGCAACCAAAAGTAAGTTTAAATCATACAAAACTACATTGAGTAGTCATAAAAAATCCTTTTATGAGAATAAAATAAAAAAATCTACAAATATAATTAAAACATCATGGAAGATCATAAATTCAGAGGTGGGTAACAATTCTAAAGTTGTAACACACAACATAGAGCTTAACCACCAAGGTTCAATAGTAAGCAATCCTCAACAAATTTGTGAACTTTTTAATAACTTTTTTGTAAGTCAATCACAAAATAAACTTCACACCAATGAAAACAAAAATGATAAAAAATATACAGCTAAAAAATTTAAGTTTAGGGAAATAAATGAAAAAGAAACCGATAAAATAATAAGCAATCTCAAAAATAGTTTTAGCACAGGGTATGATGAAGTTCCTGGACCAATAATTAAAAAAGCAAAAGAAGTATTGATTAAACCCATTACATTTTTGATCAATTCATCATTGATAACTGGAATTTTTCCACAAATATTGAAAATAACAAAAATTAAACCAATTTTTAAAAAAGGGAAGTCATCAGAAGTTGATAATTTTAGACCAATTGCTCTAATCACTATATTTTCAAAAATTTTTGAAAGAGTTGTTGCGAACCAGCTAATTGAGTACCTTGAAACTAACAAGTTGTTTGATTGTTGCCAGCATGGTTATCGTAAAGGAAGGTCAGTGGTAACTGCAGCAACAGAGTTTATTGAATCTGTGATCGACTCAGTTGATAGAGGCAAGAAAGTTGTAGGCATATTTATGGACTTGAGTAAAGCCTTTGATAGCATTAATCATGGGACTTTATTACATAAATTGAAATTGTTTGGGATTGAAGGGAAAGAATATAATTGGCTTAGTACATATTTATGTAACCGACAACAGTTTGTAGAAATTTTAAATTTAAATAACAATAGATTGCTCAAATACAAATCCACTCTTAAACAGGTAATAAGAGGTGTTCCTCAAGGGTCCATATTAGGACCTTTGTTATTCACATGCTACATAAAAGACATGCCAAAATTACATAATAATTATAGCTTATGTCTTTATGCTGATGACGCTAATCTTCAAATAAATGGGCACTCTATTGAGGAGGTTGAGTTGTCATCATTTTCAAACCTGGCTCTTTTAAATCAGTTTTTCCAAAATAATAGTTTAGTACTAAACTCTGCTAAAACAAATTTCATTGAATTCAAAACTTATCAAAATAATAAAAATATGCTGTCACCTACCATCATTCTAAATGAAACTGAATTAGAGAAGGTGTATGAATCAAAATTTTTAGGATTAACTATAGACAGCAACTTGTCTTGGAACAGCCATGTCAATAATCTAGTTTCTAAATTAAACTCTGGGGTATATGCACTAAGGCCGGGGCCACACGTGGCGGATCGTCCGCGCGGCTTATGATCGTACGATCATAAGCCGCGCGACGATGTCCCGGCCACACGGAGCGGATGAACCGCTTCCGGTTGAGGTTTCCCAGCCTACGTACTGAGATTCTAACATGGTTTAATTCACTCGTTCTCGTTGTAGTCATGGAAGAAACACGTATGTTAGTTTGTGCACAAGAAGCGTATGGTGAGCTAGAGCCTAAGGCAAACCAAAATCATTGGGTCCATCATTTCATAACCGATAAACCATTTGTGTTCCAAACCTTTTAAAAGCACATGCGAAACCATAGTTCGGAGTCTGTTTTGTTACTATCGCATGTAGTCAGTATGTCTTGCTCAGTTTGACCTACATTAAAGAGAACAACTTGTCCCTTACGAAACGAGCAGAACATCACTCCTACAACACCAGAGGTAAAGACCAACTCGATGTGCCATTCTGTAGGCTAAGTAAGAAGAAAAACTGTTTCCCAATACTAGCAATGAAACTATATAATGCATTGCCAGCTAGTACCAAGGATCTTGATCCCCGCAAGTTTAAGCGAACAATTGAAAAATGGCTGAAAAAAACACCTCTCTTCTCTATTGAAGAATTTTTTGAAGAGGTCAAAAAACCATAAATCCTGCCGCCAATCTGTAAATATTCAAACAGTAAATTCAAGTTTAAGTTTTTATTTTTCTTTGTGACGATGGACTGCATAGTTCTAAATATTAGTTTAGTTAGTATCGACTCAATCTATCCAGCAACTGCTGGTCAAAGATGAAGAAAAGAAGTATGAAGAAGTAAGATAGCATCGTTTGACGAACTACTTCAATTGCTTTGACCGCATATAACTAAGGAAGATACTCATGAGAAATGTACAACATGAGAAATCCCACGTTATCTTTAACAAGTTCTATTGATTTGTCTGTATCGAACATTTTACACCTATAAACCGAAATGCACAAGCACAAACTAAAAAAAACCCACTACAAATGCTTGAAAATGAGCTCCAACCGCGCGGACAATCCGTATCGTGTGGCCACTCTCATAAGACTACATGTGTCATCCCCTCCAACGCGGCTTATGATCGCGCGGACAATCCGCGACATGGCGCGGACAATCCGCCCAGGCGGCTTAGGATCGCCCCGTGTGGCCACTCTCATTTGATTCAATGTGTTGTCGCACCACGCGGATCATCCGCGTGGTCCGTCCGCGCGGATGATCCGCGTCGTGTGGCCCCGGCCTAAGGAGGCTCTCAAAAATTTGTTCAACAGAGACTCTGAAAATAGTGTATTTCGCCTATATTCATTCAAATATCGCCTTTGGTCTTTCATTATATGGGGCAACTTCCATTCAAAATTTGAACAAAATACTAAAAATTCAGGAACAATCAATTCAGATTATATTAAAATTAAATTATAATGAATCGGTAAAACTCTTTTTTTTTAATTGGTATCATGACTGTATATGCAATGTACATTTATGAAACTATAATTTCTGTGAAAAACCGTCAGGACCAACTTCATTTTGTTGGAGATACTCATAATTATAATACAAGATTCAGGAATAGAATTGGCGTTGACAAACATAAACTTGGATTTTATGAAAAAAAGCCAATGTATATGGGGTCAAAATTTTATAATATGTTACCAAAAGCCATTAAATCTGAGAAAAATATTAATAAATTCAAAAATCAACTAAAAAAATATCTTATTGATTTAACATTATATTCTTTCTCCGAATTCCCATGTAAAAATGACGTGTAAAGAAAGTTTTTAGTTCTGTTTTTCTTTTCATGCATATAACTATTTCTTTTTTTTTGACAGCCTTAGTATTAGTTATAATCTTAGTTATAATGTATCTTAGTATTCATTAATATTGACACCATTCTATGTACAGAGTACTAATATTGAATAAAGATTTTATTGATTGATTGATTCAGAGATTACGACAAGATGTATTTTGGTTGTTTCCGGGAGACGAAACGTTCTTTTTATAACCTTTTAGGAAGTATATAAGGCGACTTATCCGTATTGCATAGGAAAATGAATAATTTTATTTCAGCTAAGGAGAGGCTAGCACTTACCTTAAATTAAATATTATAATGGTTTTGATTTGATTTAATCATAATATTAATACAATATTAGCAGCAAAACTCGGCGTTGCTCGGGTCAACATTGTATTCACAATAATGGTAATAATTGAGTAATAATACAGCTAGTATCTTGAACTTAACTGATTCAAATGGTTAACATCTCGAATGAAAGCCTTTGTTTTGAGGGGTAGGCCTATTTTAAGACCAAAACATGTAGAATAACTAAAATTGGAGTTACGTAAGTGCAATTGCAGATTTAAATGTTAAAATAATAATTATTATTGTTGATTCGTGATTCAGTAGCGTATACGTCCGATCTTAATTATTAATAGCTCAAAATTAATGCTGACATTTCACTGAATGTTCTTAGATAAAAACATATAGCCAAAACATCTGAGGATAATGTAATCAGAACTGGCGAGATACGGCTTTAATTGAAGTAAGAATTTGATAAACAATCTGATGTGTCTTTTTAGTCGAGTGATACAGTAGATACATGAATGATGATGCTTGGTGGCAAATCTGTTCGTGAATTTAAGACCAAATTTATGAACATTGGTCAGGTAGAAGAGCCGAACCGACTCGGAAAAGAAAACCACATAACATAACATGGCCTGCTGGTGACGCGACAGTCGCGTGAGCTCGGGACTAGTAGCAAGGGTGCGCGACTGGAGTGGCCAGTCGTGGCGACTGTCGCGTACCTCGCCACCGCAGTCGCGTCGCTTAATAAGCTCCATATGATAAAATGGCCCACTAAAAGTGGCCTTTGAGCAGTCGCGGTCGCGCGCCACTTGAGTGGCCGCGCATAATAAGGCTCTTAGTCTATGGTACTACTTAGTTTAGTAGTTTCATCCCTCACCACACTAATTACTACAAAACAGCTGATAGGGAGGGTGTTTTTAACTGTGTTGAGTTATTTTGACTCTAGGAACATGCCATTTTGCCACTATTTTTTTTTCTATGCTTACTGAGGAAGTTCAAATATGAATAAAAAATTGCACATTATGCTTGGTTAGATTTTTAATTGCATGACTTTTAGTAGTTCACACTTTGAAATGATTAGTCAGCTTGCTTGGGAATGCTTGCCACTATTAAAAATTGTCTCACTAAAATAATAAAACTTGATACATCATATTTTTAACTTATATATGTAATGAAATAAGATAAATATTGATGTTGTTTTCAATACTTATTTTCCAATTTCAATTATTAAAAATTATGGTTGTAAACCTTAGTGAACGAAATAACTTTTGATATACTTATTACTTAAACACCTAAATGTTTCTTATTGTGTGTACAATATCTTATTAGTGCATTAGGTAGTGAAAGGTATTTATGATTTAGGTGAGAGGTAGGATTCTAAAAATGGTGAATTTCCTGTAACTGTAAATTTGGGTCAAATTCTTATTTACTCTTTTCCAGATAAACGTAAAACTAAAGTTTGTTTTTGCAGGTGTTTTGCAACAACAATCTGCCTCTCGACGTAAGGTTCTCGGGATCACCGGCCACTCTCTTATGAATGTATTGTTAGTTGTTTGCCTTTTTTGTTGAGTTGTTTGTATATTTTATATTCCTGACTTGTACATAGTTGTAGGTGTTAAGTTTATTGATATTAGTTTAAGTAGCACTTGGTTTAGAGCAAACTTATCTAAAGAGTACTTAATTATAGGATCATATTATATCTTTGTTTGTAAAACTGATGTGCACTCAAAGATAAATTATTCATTTGAAATATGATATCAGCACATACAAATTTTTAAGTGCTACAGATCTGGTATAGTACGTACTAATTATTTCACTCTTCTGATTTGCTTAGTGAAATTTTCCCTTAAGGAATCAGAAAAAATAATGTTACAAAGCGCTATTTTTTTTGTATCAAAGCCGGCCTTTCTTTTTTTGCTGTAACAAGTTTTCAAATGCTTTTAGAAAAAAAAATCAAACCTCTAAAAGTAATCTGGCTATCTCAGTAACCAAACTGTTCAAGGTTAATGTGCCAATATGATACTATACAGCAAGCTGGTCTAGTCATAGAGCGCGGGTCCCCGATTCAAATCCAGCCATTCTCCCAATGGATTTCATCCAACTGACAATGCCGCGAATCTCTAGACCTAGCCTAAAGTGATGTGTAAAATAATTCCGGGCTAGAACCAAGGTTTGAAAAATACAGTACTATAATAAATAGGCTAATAAAACACTTTAAGAGTCTTAATATATACATTTGCTTTTTAAATAGTATTTTGAACTACTACAGCTTTACACGTACCTTATTAGTGAACTAAGTGTTGACTTCTGAAGTCTGTACTCTTATCAGTTCATCAGCTTTACCCTGATTACTGAAGTTAGAACTGTTACAATAGTATATTACGTTACTAGTCCTGAAAATAGGTGTACGGATGAGTGTGGTCGTTCCTGTGGTAGACAAAGTTGAGTGCGGGATTACCATACGAGTGCGTTAAACACATTTTGGACGAGTGATGTACGATATTTTACCCCATACTACTCTAAGCTAACTTAACAATAAAACATCTGTACAAATCCTTATATATTACCACGGACTAAAGGACTAACAATCGCTACTCATGACCTCTAAGAGAGGTTATGTTTTTGTTTATAACCACACATTGCCAAATATAATCAGCTTGTTAGTGTCCGGTAAAAACTCATTAAAGTACAGTAGTACGTGGATGAAACTCCATTTGATTTAGCTGGCGGCAAAAAGCTGTTTTCTCGACTAAATCCTTGCGTGGGAAGATTTGTTAAAACAGTGTAGTGTGGGGTAAAACTATTTTATTGTATCCTAAATTATTATGTATCCAATAATCTTTGAGTGTTCATTGGTTTTGAATATCTTGTGTAATAGTTAGCTTAGGCCTAGAACACACACGTAACGTTCGCTGTGATTGTACCAACTTCTATACAACTTTCCTTCCACTATCAGCTGATATACTGCTGTTGATGAATCTGGATATTCATTATATTCAGTAAAGCAATGGTTCACAATCTCAAACACATATGATTATCTACACTAAGTTTAAACTGGCATTGTATAGTTGTTGTAGTACAACTGTGTTGAATAAAATATAGACACAAGTATCAAGATCATTGCAAGTTCCCTAAGGCATTTCTGTAATGGTAAAATGACTGACCAAAACCACTATTTTTTACTAAATCAGTCATTTTTTTTTAAATTAATAAACACATAAGCCTACATGGTTAGTAGTTTTATATATTTTTTTGGTTGGATAATGATACGTAAAATTTACATAATAAAACATTTAGAACCAGCGTAATACCATTGACTATGGTGTTTTCCACACATTAATAGTCTTATCAGAAAATGCAATTTTATTAACATTTAATTGAACTAAAAGTAGTTTTACATTCTTAGATCTATTACCCACACAGATTTTCTTCATGTACTGGTATTTGGAATTTGTCTAAATAATTTCGTAAAAACATGGGCCTAGTATATTGTTAGCTGTCGGTTAGTATTTTACTGCATTTTGTCTTGATTTAATGTTACTTAAAACATTTTATAAGCGGTGAAAGTAACAAATCTATCAGTGATGATATAACATAGTGTGTGTTTTAGGCTTTAGTCCAGAAGCTACTATTGACAGTAACTATTTTGGTTTTGAATGATATTTCCCATTTATCATGTCCAACTTTCGTGCCAGTAAAAATGTTTTGATCAATGACTTTTCTAGCCATTAATCGTAACATAGTATTTCCTAACTGCCTTTGTTTTTTTTTTTCTTAAAGACTGAAAATCTTTTGAAATCTAAACCTGAAAGTGTTTCAATTTATATTCAACCTTCTGCAAGTGAAGCACTGATATTTTTAATAAATCACTTTTAACCATGTATACACTTCTGAAGGGTTTTATTAATGGCCATAAAATATCTAAACAATATACCTATCTCTGTTATAGTTGTTTAACATAGTATTTTCCACATAAATATTAGTGTGTTAATGTTATGTGATACAAGGAATTTGAGTATTGATCTAGTATTAAGTGATTTAAGAGTCTTCTTCCTGCACCAGAAAATAAATCTTAGGGTTCTAATATGTATTGTTAAAAAGGTGAAATATAGTTTTAAACACTAGAATTTAAAAATTAAGTTGTGCACTTAAAAGTTATTATTTAATTTAAACTAACTCGGTGGAACTATGACTAAACACCGGTTTAAAACTTCAAACCATTAGTGTTTTAAAAAAACAAAAATAGGGATATTATGGTACTGTGAAAAAGCTATATCATAAAATCTACTTCACTTTTTTTCAAAAAGGTTCACTTCTGCATTGATTAAGCACGAGTCCACCGTAACTCAAAACTTCTTATTTCAGTTTAATAAGAACCTTATTACAACAATAACACGTTATTGTAGATTTTGTGTTAAAGAGACATTAAATGTTTCTTATTTCAAGTGTTCAGAGTTAAAAAATGCACAAAATGCATAAAATGGAGCTTGATTAAAAATGTGCTATAAAAAGTTAACTGTGTATGAAAGTGCTCTTGTCCTAAAACTGGTTCACAAGATCCTTTTTGTCTCTACAGTATATTGAGTGCAGGCCTATTCTTTCTATGAAGTATTCTTTAATTATAATAATTTTTGACGCTTAAGTAAATTGGTAAATACAAATTCTTATCATAAAACCATAACTTTGATTCATCGTCCTGACACATTTTGTTTGGTTGTGGAATTTGTGATAAAGTACCTGGGAATGATTTTGTGTTAATCTAAGAAGGAACTGCTGTGAGTAGTAGTTGATTTGCTGTGATGTCTATTTTACCCAAAATAACGAATCTTGCAAAATTGTATAGTATTGCATTGGAATATTATTTAGATACTTACAAAGTAAGTTTTGTTATAAATATGTTATGTAATATTAGAGGTTTTAAGTTGCCTAGTGTTATAGAACCTGTTAATGTATTGAACAATGAGTTCTGTATGTTGCTGTTTGTTCTTTACTCGAGTTTGTGCTTTGTGCTAATGTGCTCAAATACATGATTTTGTCATGGGAGAGTATGTAAGGCACTTTTCTGTTTGAGGAATGCCGAAGCACAGGTCCTCATAGGAAACCTAACCTCTGGCCTTCCTTAAGCAAATAAGTACCTATGATTTTAATCATATATTCTAGTCGGATCAATCTAAAAACTGTAAGGATGCAGATTATAAATGTTACGAATTGAATTTATGTATATTGTATAATGAAATGAAAATATACAGTGATGAGACATCTTTGTAAAACTGTTAGACCTTTATTTTTACCATCTATTTGAAAAAGTGAAATATTATGCAGTTCAAAATACAAATGTCAATAGAAAAATTAAAACTTCTATTTGATGAGAACCATTACTCTAAAGCCTTGTCAGCAATTTTACCGATATATACTTTCTCCCATTAGCTTGTCAACCTTCATCATAGGTAAGCGATGAGAGATTGATAATAGAAAACACAACTATGATATTTAATAGGTAAAATCACAAAAGTTGCATTCACTTTGAACCGTAATTTTTACAGGAATGGGGGTTGCACTATTTAGTTTATAAGGGCCAAGAGAGACGAATCTCAATCAAAACAGAGTTTTTTTTAAATTGATTTTTCGTTTTTTTTTGGGTTGGGGGAATAAGAAAGAGAAACATTTTCCCACGAGGTAGGTGGAGAGGGGTGCCATTATCCCTCGGGCCCATAGCACCTCACATGCAAACCGTAGGCCTTGAAGCTTCATGTGGTTTCGGATGGGCATCAATACAATATCATATACCCAGGAGGCTAGAGTTAGTAAATTAAATTGAAGATGGTGATAAGCAATTTTAAAGGTATTATTAAGGTAGTAAATTATTTTTATGGTAAACGTTCGGCTGAAATGCTCCTTCTCAAAGTAAGTAAGCTTACTTTTCACACACCATCAAAGTGGGTTACTTCAGACAATTTGAGACTGGATAGGCAAAGAATTAGACACACAGTGTAATTGATAACCAAACATGGTTGGTTGAGAAAACATCTGCAATGTATGGGTTTGTATTGTATGATGGCGTTTCACTTTGTAGGAATTGCGGTAGGTTAGAGGAAACAGCTGTTCACCTGCTCTTTGATTGTGAAGAGCTCTCTGGGGTGAGAAGGACAACTCTTGGTAAGAAAACAATCCTCTTACCAAATTCTTTCTCTTATTGGCAGACGGACTATATAGAGGCATTTACAGTAGAACCTCTTTAATCCGAACCCCTGTAATCCGAACGTCCACTAATCCGAACGCCTCATTTCTGTACTCTATACACAGTACAGTAGTTCTTTATTGTATAATGTATTTATTGATATACGCACCATAATTATTTTAATTGTAATATACAGTACTGTTCGTACCCTATGTTTACCACTGTATTTAATAAACACTGTATTTTACTTTATAAGGTAATTTTCACTCTTCTCTAACTATTGTTATGTAAAAACAACAATATGTTCTGTAATCCGAACTATTCAATGGTCTGAACTACCCCCGGTCCCAATTAGTTCGGATTAAAGAGGTTTTACTGTATCAGGTTCCTTGGTCTATCAATAAAAAAACTTAATTGGTTTGTGTGCAGTCACTCGACAAATTCGGATGAAATGCCTTGTAGCTTCAGCAAAGTTAACTTTTTTTTTACCTTATGAGCCAGCTAGTTGATTCACTGGAATAACAGTAAGGCAAAGCAAAGCCTTGATATACGGTAGGGGGATTTTGAACATCTTTTTAATGCTACAAATATATTGTGAGTAGGTGGCTGTAAGATGGACTGTGAAACCAAGGGGGGCGATATAGTCACTGGTTTGTATATTGGTGCTGCCCTTTAAACTTATTAGAACTGAGTCCCACTCCGACCAATCCAATATCATTGAAACAAGACTATGTTCAGGTTACCAGATTGTTTGAATTAGCCAGAAATTCATTACAATTGCGTCAAAAATAGTGTACTGTAGTGATTATTTTTTATGATCACGTCGTGGTCGTCTTCTGAGATGGTAGAAATATCCATGATGATCAACCGTGATTGAGTTCTTCAAACTACAAGACAACCTCAAAACAAAAAGTAATGGAATAATGTTCAGGAATGGACATTAGCTGGGCTATTGGCGACTATTCCAAATTCCCCAGTTCTATACAAAATTCATATACAACTCCCGATTTTCCAGTCAGCTGGACACACTGACGTATTTTAGAACATTTGGCTTTGTTTCAATTAAAATACAGTTACCTTGTTATAAAATAGGTGGTAAAGGTTAGCCAGACATCCAGATTAGCGGACTTTGGACAGCTCACCTCTTGCACTGCTTGATAAGTTCCCATTGAGGCCCATTGGACGAAAATTTAAGGTGAAAAGAAGAAAAAATTCTTTAAGGTACCAAATTTGAGTACAACACAAAAGAAAACATTTCAAAAACCTTTTTTTTATAATTTAACATTCAGTAATACAATTTTAAATTGAAACTAAAATATGCAGCTCAGAAAAAAAATGTTCTCTCACAAACATAACCTGGTCACCAAATTAAACACTCATCGCTCGACTAAGTCACTTTGCACAGGTTCTATCTTGCATCCTAGGAGACCCTGGCCGGCCCACGACTGAGGTACAAGGTCCAGAGTGATGGCCGAATGTCTTCCTTCTCTGCGCAAAACTACAGCCACACGTCGACCCACCGAGTGCCGCACCACTGAAGCCACATCCTGCATGGACCTGAAGTTACCTTTGTTCACTGAACCAAACTCCAGCAGTAGATCGTTCACTTGGAGTCCCTGTAAAAGCACTGTTAGTTTAGGATGGTTTCAGGGAGTTTAATCATTTTATCATAAGGATCGTGGTGAGTAACAGATCCATAAAATATTAACACTACCTATGTGATTAACAGAAAACTATGCAAGTGCTCAACCAAGACAGCAATTCAAATTTTTTCAAATTTTAGTTTTGTAATTTTATAGTTTGCCTAATTTGTTTGATTCATACTTGAAATTTTTAGCTAAACATTCCTTTGAATAACAAAATATTTAGGCAGAAAACTCAGTAAATTTTATGCAGATTGCAATGATATCTTAAAAGCTTAGTTTGGACAAAGAATAACCATAGACTAACCAACACAAGTAGAAGACTTGTCATCCCATTGTAAATTTTGAAGCACGTTTTTCGTGTCTAGTTCATGTACGGTGACACTGGGCGCTAGTGTCGACAAAATTTTGTTTCTATTATTTTAGGGTTAATTTCTTGATTTGTGCTTTACTGTTTGGTTATATAACTAGGAGACAAGTTATTGTTTATAATAAGATCGTATTATTTGGTTAAACGAGGTTTTAAATGACTGTAATAACTGGAAACAAATTGTAAACAAAACACGACCTCTACATAAACCGTACAGAACTAACAATAAAATTGTCTTCAGCTGTTGCATAAGGATGAGAAATCTACTTGGGGGAGTATGTTTTATCTATGGAATAACTGAGACATTAATTTCTCTGTTGCTTTGTCAAAACTAAGCTTAGCCTATAACATATTATTAAAATCTGCATTTACAATTTTTAAAGTTTTATGTATCACGGGATATTTTTTTTACTAGACCAAAACACTTTAATATAATAAGTTATATTACAATTTTGACATGGAAAAATAATAAAACATTTGCTATTTAAATTAATAAATAACTGGTACTCCAGCCCCATCTTCAAACTCTCTAAGGGTCCTCCAATTCTTCCTTGTCCTCCTTAGACACATGCTGCTGGCCCTTAACGTCGCACAGATGGTTTTTACCCTTATCCAGTTCATCACTAAACTGTAAGGTTTCTTCCATTTTTCTGTTAGGCGTTCTGCCATTGCTCTGAGCAAGGTCTGAAACTCTTTGCCCAGCATTCCGTCCACAGACGTGACTATTGGGGTAAAAGATGCATTTCTGGTTTCTGTTATTGTTTATTTCCTCTTCTTCTCTCTTTCTGCATTCTCCAACACTTTTTCGTATGGGAGGTTCAAGTACGATGGAGCATCAGTGTCAACGACACGTACATCGAATAATGCTTCCGTCTGAACCTCCCATACACCCCTACAAGCCAAGTCTGCTTTTAGTGCTGCAGTATCAAATGACCCTTGCTCAGAGATCATTGGTTCTCGAACACAGTTTCCCCATGCTAGCTCCATCAAGCTTCCAAGGGTAATCATTATGTCTTTTTATTATCAAACCACCTGTGCGACAGTTAAGGGCATGTTCCATATTGAAGTTTTTGCCACAGCCATCACATGAAGAGGGCAGGTGTATAGGAGTTTTCCCATATCTTAATGCAAGAGCATCTCTGAACTCCAGTTTGGAGAAAGATCTAAGTTGAGTTTTTTCAGAGGAATGCATGACAGCCATCCACTGTGTTTCGCTTTAGTATTTGCTCCTCGCAAGATAATTTTTTGTTGTTTTAGAGGAAGATTTTGAATAGTCGATTTCAAGATGTTTTCTTCTTCTAATCTTCTCTCCTCTTTCAATTCCTTTTTTGAGATAATCAAATGTTCTTCATATTCTTGCATATTTATTTTCCTCTTAGTTTTAAGGGAGTCTATGATGAATTTACAACATCTCTTTGAAGCTCGGACCAATGCTTTTCCCTGAGCAGTAGGATCA